GATTGTTTTTCATCCGTTTTGTTGTTAAACCTAAACATTATATAAAAAAGGATTACCAACACATTTGCAGCAAGTCTGCATCAACCTCTTAAGCCTGTTGGCTAAAAGGATACTGTTCTTAAACTGCAGTTGTGGGCCGCACAAAATCACTCCAATGGCCACAAATGGCCCACAAGCCACATTTTGGACACCCATGCTTCAAGTTTAAAGACTCATTTCCTGGGAGCAAAAACAAAATCTGACTCTGGAACAAATAATTGAACATATAACAAATATATAATGCTTTGCTTGCGTCTCCAATGCAAGAGTTGGGGGTTTGAATCCACCAGCAGTCACATGCCAAGTGTCCCTGTGCAAGACACTGACCTCTCATTGCCTCCAATGTGTGTCCCATTGGTGTATGAATGTGATAAAGCTCTGATTATTTGTTGTATAGATCTAGTAGAGTGCTGTATGAATGGGTAAATGAGGGCACAGATTGTTGTAAAGTACTTTGTGTCTTGATCAGACAGAAAGGTGCTGTATAAGTACAGTCTATTTATCATTTACCACATGTAATACTTTGTGAGCACTAACAGTCATGGCTAAATATGCCTTCTGCATAAATATTTATCTTTATTGTCCTCTCTTATATTTAAGAAAAAACATTATTACTGTAGTGTATAGTGAACTTGTGTGATAAACTCGTCCCCAGAATTAGATTATTAAGGTTTAAAAAGTATACAGTACTTCAGTTATGAAAAAAAGAGACTGGAAGATTTTCCTGCAGCTACAGAAAAGGAAAGTCTACTTTTAAACTGAAGAAACTCATCCAGCTCTGAAAAAAGTTAGTGTAGATTTTGTTCAATATACTCATAATATACAAAGATTTGATTTGAGTCTCAATCTGTGTGGCTTTCTTTATACCAGCCTGAACTATATTGGCTGCAGAGTGCAGCCAATAATGTTGGGTAAATTCTCAAAACGCGGCACTTTATTTTAGCCGACTGAAATGACTAAAGACATACTGTTCAGTCCCATAAGCAGAGCTCCATTTAACTGAACGCCCTCCGCTAAAATTGCTGCCATGCTTGGATTATTGAGTTTCATATTTTTTTCATCCATTTAAAAATTCCTATCGAGAATCGTAGGGGGGAAAAATGTTTACCGGCAAAACAACGTGTATGGCAGAGACGAGACAAAAAGAGAAACGGAATAAACAGAACTTATTAAGAAAAAGCTGATAATCATTATCTTTTATATTTGCCTCCCTGTCCAAATAAAACAAACTTTAAATTCCCGTCGCATTATTAGAGATACGTGTTCGGGAGTAGACGCTTGACAAACAGACGCAGACATCAGAGTGATCACAATCAACAACAGCAGCTCTGAATCATTCATCACTCTTTAGAGAAGAAACAAGTTCTCCTCAGACTGCTCCACTTTCACACTAACAGATGTAGAACACAGCCGTCAACATCCTGTTCTGTCTGTTTACCAGCACGTCCTGCAGGGACGGGGCTGTGGCGCCTCAGGACTCCAGCCAGGTCAAAGGACAAGTCAGGTCTCAGTCGTTTCGTACCAAAGCAAATGAACAAAATGTCCTCAGAGTATAGCAAGAAGATATAAGAGGTAAAGCAAAAACACAACTTCTCATCTGCTTTTCACCAACACAATTCACAGAACCCCTCCCACCTGATCTTCTCTCCTCTGGCACCATTGTCCAGCTCTTTCATTGCATCACCTGACCCAAATACAAAACTTCTTCCTGGTGGGTGCTGCTCCAGAAACTATGTCCAAGTCTTTGATCGGGTTCCAGATCACTGCTGAAAGGCTGTCACTTCAGCTTTAGGCCTCAGAGCATCCCACTACAACTCTCCATCTCTGAGCTTGGGCGACACACTTTTTTCTTCTTCCTTTTTTTTGTTTAACATATTTGCACATTTTTTGTCATGTGACCAGGGTATTTTTTCACCCCCACTTCCTGACTATAAAACTAGCATTTTAAAGAGACACGACGTTGAAACAACAGAGGTAAAACAAAGGAACTGATAAATCATGGTGTTTATTTGAGCCTCTCGGCCTGACAGTACAGCTGCATCCTCACCCATTAAAAAAAAATAAAAATTCTGATCCATGATGGGTGAAATTATAATTTACAGTTACAGTGGCAGACAAAAAAATAGAACATACTGAACCATTTACACCAAGGAAAAGGAGGGCAGATTTAATTTAAAAGTTGGCATGCAATCCTAATTTCTGCAGATGAAGGCTCATAAATGAAAAGGCCTGGAATCTTGCCTGGTATGGAAATCTAAAGTTATGAATAATGCCTCCGTCTCAATCATCAAGTCAGATTTTTTTTTTTAGCAAGGTGGATTAGCTAAGCACCTGCAGGCTGGAAAGCACACATGGCTGCACTCCCTAACTAACCAAGAGTGGGACAAGAGCTCCCGAAGGCCGGAACCCTCAAATCCTCCCTGCGAGACCTTCACCAGTCCAGAAGAGAAAACAGCAGCAAAAACATTAGGGTTGTCATTTATGCCGATGAATCCACCTGGATGAGAGCGTCGCAACGGAAAAGCGACTGATTTACACACAGTTGCTAATCAGTGAATGGCTCTCTTGCTAATGAAAACTCATAGATCCATACAGTAACACTGCTGATATGATTTTATCTGCCATTACTCATTCGTAATTATGCAACAGGGAGTGGCTGTTAAATGCTAGGGAGGAGTCTGTGTGTGTGTGTGTGTGTGTGTGTGTGTGTGTGTGTGTGT